TAGGGCTACACAGAGAAACCCTGTCCTGAAAAACCAAAAATACTGATTGATAGATAGAAAGATAGATAGATAGATAGACAGACAGACAAGATAGATGAAAGCAAACATACATAAATACATACATACATACATATATACATAGGGTGGCATTGTCATCTACTAACCTTCTCAAGAACACTACAGGTATTATCTAACTCATATTAACATACAAGATGGTGTTGCACCCGGCCCGCCAGCAGGAAGAACACCAACAACAGGATTCTTCTCAAGCACACTTTATTGGGAGCTCCAAGCTGAAAGAGAGAAGGACCCCGACACTACGGAGCACCAAGCTTATATACTCGTGATGATGTGGACGTGCAACGTCATCTGATTGGCTTAGATCTCATCTGACGATTATGCATCACCCAATCGGGATAGGTGAGCAGCCATATTAGGATAACGTCATATGCTCATGCGCAGACAATTAGGATACAAAAGCAGTAAACAAGCTGACCTGGCAAAGCCTGACGAAGCTAGCGTGGCTTCCCACAAGATGGCAGCTTTTCCTTTACAATATTACCAAAACCCATCAGCTGACAGAAAGACACCTCTCCAGTCAAATCCATCCATGTGCATCAGCTACTGTGATGAATATACTCTCCACTTTTGCTCTTAACTCTGAACGCAATGCAATCTTGTCATAAATGCACGCCAACTCATGCCTCTTCTCTGCTCAAGATTTCCCAATTGTTCCCAATGCAACCAGACTAAAACCAACATCTTAAAATGGTATATAAGCTATGGGCACTGTATCCTTCTAAACTTGTTTCTTTCTATTCTTCCTCCACTCATTTTTATCACCCCTAGTCACAAGAGCTTTTTTCTTGTCTTTTTGGACATGAAAGCTCTTCTTGTCAGGGTCTCTGAATTAACAATTCTCTGGAATAGCCTTTCTCTGGATCGTCTCATGGATTCCTTTAATTCAAGTATAGCAATCTTACCTACCTCCACCTATGCTATTGCTCTCTGTACTTTGAATTATGGGTCAAAAACATGTTAAAATGACTCAAGTGGAAAATTCCAAACATTGACAACTGCTACATTAAACCACACAGAGCTTGCATCTTTCAAATTCCACCTCACCTGGGACATGAATCATCCCTTTGTCTACATATCCACATGCTCACTTCAGCAAACTAGTAATCACTCATTCAGCTGCTTGGGATATTAAAACTGTGAGGGTAGCAAAGTATTGCGGTCTAACTAAGCCTTACTTAACTTTAAAAATGCCCCTAAAGCACAAAGGCCGTGATGCTGACAATTCAGAACCAGCACAGAGAAGATGTCATGTAGTTCATTTCAGTAAAACAGAATTTGAGCATACTGGAATAATTTTTATTGTTGTATTGCTCTGCACTGTAACTACTTACTGTAACTAATTTGGAAGTTAACTTTATTACGCATATACATGTGGAGAAGCAAACAGAGTATACAGCACTACTCAGTTTCAGGCATCTACATGGGATTGTAGAATATACCAGTGGTCATTGGTATATTGAGTCATTCAAATTATCCCTTGTAGTAGGAGTCACTTTCCTTTACCACTCCCAGTCTCTTTCCGGTGATTTTCTATTTTCTTCTTAAAAGTTCTTATTAGCATCATCTGAATATTTTGCTGTATGATACTACTTGCCTAATGCTACTATGCCAAGACCTTTGAAGACACTGACTGTGGAAAAAGGATATGGACCAGCCAATAAACTTTTTTTTTTTTTTTAATTTAATTGGTTTTGAGCCTCTGCTTTAATGTCACTTCTTCAGTTTGTCAAATAACATGAAGTGTATAAATATGTAATTGTTGGCATCATTATTTATTGAATACCTATCTTTCCCACTATAGAAGGTAGAGGGAGTCTGTATCTATTATATTCACTTTCTTTCACCAAAGAGCCTAAAATATCGTTTGGTATAGTCTTCTAAAAACTGGAAAGAAAAATGGGAGAAGGTTGAAGAAGAAAGTGGGGGAGAGAATAAAAGATCTTAAAACTGGGAGTATTTAAACTAATATGTATGTACATATATGTATCTCTACAACAGAGGAAGACAAGGAATAGTACATGTGTAAAAACTATTTCCTAGCTTTTATACTTAACTTCTTTAAAACCCACTTATTAAACAATCTTAAAAACTTTCACTATCATAGCAGCCTTCCTCTTGACCTTGAATTCCAACTACCCACTTATGTCTCCATATGCTACATTCATGACAAACTCAAAATCTGTCCAACCAGAACATGAGATTATTAGTTCACATAACCTAGCATTTTAAGAAATAAGTATATGATATATGCTTGATTTATTGAAACCTAGTTAACAAGAGATCTTACACACCTTAATACCATTAACAATGCTTGAGAAGCTAAGGGCTGGCAAAATGGCTCAGAGTGTAAAGGCTCCTGCTACCAAGCATTATGGCCTGAGTTCACTTATCCGGTCTCACATGATCCAGTCTCACAAAAAGAGAACCAGCACCTGCATGTTGTCCTTTGATCTCCAGGTACAAGCTGATCTCACACACATACACACACATGCACGCACGCATGCAAATTTTGTTTAAAGAAGCTAAATATTCATCTAAATTACTATGCTATCACTACAGCAAAAGTCCTGAAAGTTTTTTTTGGAAAACAGCATTATTTATAAAAGTTTAATATCATAAACAATACTTAATACTAGGATGAAAAGAAGCAAAGTTGAAGCCATAAATAAAACATCTAAACCCAAAACAATAAAAAATTAGAAATGTTACAAAACCTGATATTTTAGAAGCAGATAGAGAAAATTAACTGCATAGACTAAGCTGAAACCTAAGTCAGTGAAGAGAAAGCAAAAATGCACTGACTGTCATGGCAGAACCAGAGGAATTGACAGCTCAAGCTCCGGAGCATCTAAAGCAGCTGGGCAAAGCACTCTAGTCACACTAATGTGTTTCTGAAATCAGATCCCCACAATAAGAAAAAATAAAACAAAAACACAGGGAAACAACTTCAGATGGTTGCACATAAACATCCGCAATCCAATGGAAAAGCCTACAGTTAGTAAATTATTCACATTAACAGAGCTTCCAATAGTTTGTAGGGTCCACTCTTACTGAATGACTAAGAATAAAACAATCAAAGAACATTTGAGAGAAGTCCAAGTCAGAAGCCAACAACTACAAAACTAAAAATTAACAGAAAGAAAAGAGACTAAGCAGAAAAAGAAAACAGAAAAGTAAACAATTAAAAACAAGTAAGTCTATTATTAAAGTCCTCTGAAAGGTAGGGTTGGAAAAGATACTGAGAAACAAAAAAAGATGCTAGGTAGTGAAAACTGTCTTGGAAATTAAAAACTTAACAACAGAAACACAAAAATCTAAGTAGAATTCAACTGTCAAAAAGAAACCTCCCAGAAAGAAGAGATGGAAAATGAGACCATGAATAGATTTTACAGGACTAGTGCAGTGCATCAGTAAGAGAAGAAAAATGGAAGCAGAAAAAAGAAAATAATACAAAAAAGGCTCTCAGACATGAAACCCATGTGCTTGCAAACCAAAAGCAGCCACGTTTGTTTCACTCCTATACTATTTACCATATCAAACCCCTAGCTGACCTTTTGCCTCTCTTACAGTCCACTCAGCTGCCACTTCTTTTCTAAAAACCAGAACTGCACAATAGCTACTGCTCAAGAACCTTCTAATGGCTGTCTATTGGTCACATGAATGTGGACAATGACCTAAGATGAAGGTTTTTTTAACATGGCTTTATTTCCATAATTTTCTACAGACCACAACATGACTAAGGGGAAGAGGAAGTTGTCTAATTGAATCACTGAAATTAATCATCCCTAAATCAGTATTTCTAATAGATTTACTTGTATTTCAGCACCTGATCAAGGAAAGAAAACCACTGAACAACAACCATAAAATTCATTCATTCATTCATAATCAGAAATGGAAAAAAATTAATAACTTCCTCTCAAACAATCAAAAGGAACTCAAAAAATATTTAAGACAGCCTATATGCAAAATAGGTATCTACAGTTTTCAAGAGAAGCCAGCCCTAGTAGTTTCTTGTTTCATTATTTACAAATCTAAGATGACCACTTAAAATAGAGTAATTACCAAGTACTTTCAAAATATTAACAACAGAACAAGAACCAAATGCTTACCTATGGGTAGGATATAAATTAAAATTAAAGTCTCTATACACAACTGTCCAGAGAGCAGCTACATCTGTGGATACAGCACATTCATTGCATAAGGCAGCATGTTGATGTCCTCAAAAGGGCACAGAGTTCTATATCCTGACCACAAGAAGTGCCTGAGGTATATAACCTAAATCTAGGGGAAGGAAAGTCTACCCAACCAAACCTCAGGAAAAGCAGCAATGAAAATGTAGTATTCTTTGGACCCACATGGAGAAACCAGAAGTCAGACCTGATGTCACATGATCAATCTTATCAACCTTCATGTTACTCACATGGACCTACTCCTTTTAAAACTCAGAGGCTCTGCTCACATTTTAAGAGGTTGTCAGAGAATATCTGAAATTCTTGAAAACACCTGAACTATAAGCTATTACATCAATGACTTTAGTGTCACAGAATAAACATTGTCACCATCCTTCCTCCTTTTAAGAACTGGGAAAACAAAAGGTTCCAATTTTGCTAAGAATAAGAGTAAGATGTACAATGAATGAATCTGCAGCCATGACTATCATATCCCACAAATACGTATTATCGTTGGGTCACACAACATACAGCAAAGAAGTTTTGCTTGGTGTTTGTTAGTATGATAGTCTATAAATTCACATGCTTGCAAAACTAAACAACTATCAATAAATGTGTAAGTCACCAGGAAGCTGAAGGTTTGGAAAAAAAGGTACCTATTTCCACTTTAAGTTTCTCCCTTGAACAGTGGTATGGAGCAGACTCAAGGACAAAAATGAGAGCAACCAAGGATAATTTACTAAAATTCACCTTAAAAAGATTGAATCTGCCATCTTGGATCTCTGCACCTGGTGTAACTTCCATAGTACAGTCTTCGGCCTAAGTTAAATAACACATTCCCCATTAAGACACCACACCATTTTTAATTGATAGGCCACATAAAGACAAACTAGCTGTGGCTAGTCTGTGATTTGAACTAGGAACACACGAAAATCATTAACATGGAACTGAAGGGGAAGGAAGGGGAAACAAACAAACATGGTCAGGACAACTGTCATACAGCATTTAATCACCTTTTTAGGGGAAAGGTGACTATGTGGGCAGTCAAAAGGGAACGGTAGAAGAGGTAGGGTTACTCTGGAAGATTTACTAATTACCGTAATTTTATTTGTTGCTGAAGTAACTGGTATAACTTCAAGTCCCATCCGTATCCTTTTTTGTTTTTCACAGTAAGCTTTCCAAGTATCTTCATTAAAGCCATAATTGAAATAATCAGAAAGATCAGCACCTAAAGATAAAATATACTTTTAGAACACAAATATTTTAATTCTATGGCAGCATCAAAAATATAGTGCAGTACAAAAGGACCTTGCGGACACATCCCCCATGGAGGGATACTGCCTTAACCTAGAGACAGGAGAGAAGTCCTGGTCCCTACTTCAAATGACCTGACAGGTCTACATGACCCCACCTGGATGGCATTGCCCTACATGTGGAATTGTGGTGGGGGGATGGGAGGGGATGGTGGTCAGGGTGCATGTGAGGGGACATAGAGGGTAAGAGGGAGGGAGGGGGAACTGGGATCGACATGTAAAATAAAAAAATATATAGTGCAGTATAAAAATGTAAATTTAGAGAAGAAAATAGAAGGGGAGTAAACTCTGAAGAGGAAGGTTATTAGGGTATTAGAGGGAAATAGAGAGGGTCAAAGAGGACAAGGCAGTGGACATGCTCGAAAGACTATATACTTGTGGGAAAATGTCACAATGAAATCCATCATTGTTAATAATTATGCTAAAAGAAATATTCATATATATATGAATAATATTGGTCTTAACACCCCTTGAATTTTTACTAGTTCTCAAAGTTACCACAATGAAACAGACTGAAAAATATTCTTGATCAAAATGATTTCCTTTAGAACTGGCATTACAATAATGCGAGTCCACATCTATGTTAATTCCAGTGACTAATGAGATTTTAATAACGCAAGTACTCAGTACTCATTATTTGCTTAGAACAAAAAAAAAAAAAACCATTTTATACTGCCGCTCAAAAATACTTTTCTGATCATTTTACATAAAAATCTGTTTATGAGATAATCGTATTCCCAAATAATCTTACCAGGTTTCCGCCATGGTTTATCTTCAAAAGAATCCAAATCTACTTCCAATAGTGGCACTCCATTAATGCTGCCGGGTGCATCAAGGTCTACCCCTTTGACTTTGGTTCCTAATTTACAGAAATGCAAAATGGCAAAGAAGCTACATTAGCAAGAAGCTAAAAGACAAAAGGAGGAAACAATGTTCCTTTACCATCCATCCTGACTAAACTAAATAAAGTCAAACTTTGTGATGAAACTTTTAGGATGAACAAGATGGTTAGGGATTTAGACATTATGGCCTAGCATGGTAGGTAGCACATGCCTAACATCTATGCACTTGGGAAACGGAGATAGGAGGACCAGGAACTCAAGGCAAGCTTTGGGTACAAAGCTAGGTCAAGGATAGCCTCGGTTATATGAGGTACTGTCTCAGGAAGCAAAAAGATTACTACATCAATGGAGTTGCTAATGCCCATGTGTTAAATTTTTTTATATAGTTGTGGGCAAGGAAAAGTTTCTCTTAAAGGGTTCTAAAACAAGCAAAGCAGCACAAGCAAAACAGGCCAAAAGTCTGCTGTCTGAGATTTCTTTCACAGGAGTCTGCTTTTGTATGTCAGACAGTCATATATCACTCATGAAAAGAGCTGAGACAATCCACTCAGGACCTATCTGAGATGTCACGCCATATTTTCATACTTATGCAGCTGCAAATATGAATTTTACCTGTATTTCCATACACTCTTCCCCCTGCCTTGATATTAAGATTTACTGGTGTTGTTCCATAACTCCTAAAAATAGAATAAAAATTAACCTCAAAAACACATAGTAATAAAATAGGAAGACATGTTATAAACCCACATAATGAGTGAATGAATAAAGTTTATTTAGTTAATACAGGATAAAAGCTAAACGTTTTTCTTAGATTTATGTGTATGACTGTTTCACCTATATTTATGTACATCACAAGAGTGCTTGGTGCCCAAAGAGGTCAGAAAAAGGCACTGGATTCCCTGGAACTGGAGCTATGGATGATTGTGAGCACTGGGAACTGAACCCACATCTTCTATAAGAACAAGTGCTAAGCTATCTCTCCAGTTCCAGAAGTAATTTTTCTTTCTTTTTTTAAAAATGCCTGACATTTTTCCATCTCAAATGTTTTTAAATGTCATCTTTCCATCTCAAGTCTCCCAGCTACTATTTCAATATGCCACTGTAGCAGATTCATAAGGACACCTTCGTTGTTATCTGGCAGGTCCTCAACACCTAGCAATCCTGCAGTGTGACACACTGCCAAATCCCATGGCCCCACTTCAGTCTTTCTCACATCTTATATCACCAAACAAACTCTCTCCAACATGCATGGAGTATTTCATTCATAAAAATGGATTCACTTAGAAGAAACATGGAAGAACAAATCCAGAGCATAAGGAAAACAGTGGTAACAGGAGGTTAATAACTAAGGGGAGGAGGGACAAGTTCCAGGACACCTGCAGTATCCCACATCCTTGTCTAGGCTATGACTGCAGGAATACATATGTGTTCATGTGACAAATAACTGAAGTTAAACCAACTTATGTTCATACCCAATTAGTTGTGCCTTTGTGTTGATTCCTGCTTTTGTTCTGCTCAATAACTTTTTTTTTGTGGGCTGTGGTGAAGGAGTACCTGCCTAGCTGTGGAAGGAAGGCTCTGAGTTCAAGATCTACTACTGCCAAAATAAATAGGTTTTTGCTGTATATTTTATCTTTGATATAACAGTCCAACATCCCTTCAATAAAAATCCTGAAGAAATCAGAAATAGAAGTATAGGAAAGCAGCATGATATTCAAACACACATCCAGCATTGTATGGGACTACAATTCCACTAAAGTTGGTAATGAAACATGCATGTCCGCACTTTTTACTCTTACCCTTTAAAGGGCTTAAAGTTTTAGCTTTAAAAAGGTAAAGAAAATGGAAGGAGGAACTCAAATTTATCTCTATTAGTAAATAATATGATTCTATTTGTGGAAAACTCTCCAGGCTCTACCAGAAAATTCAATAGCCAGAATGTACTACGTATGTGTGATGCTGTCAAGGAACAAAATTTATTAATATTAATTTTTAAAAAGTAAATATCACTCCTACATACTAATAAGGAACCTAGGGAGAAAGAAATCATGAAATCAGGGGCTGGAGAGATGGCTCAAAGGTTAAGAGCGCTAACTACCCTGCCAGAGGTCCTGAGTCCCAGCAACCACATGATGGGTCACAACCACCTATCATGAGATTTGGTACCCTCTTCTAGCCTGCAGGATACATGAAGGCAGAATGTTGTATACATAATAAATAAATAAATCTTTAAAAGAAAAAGAAAAAAGAAATCAGGAAATCAATCCCATTCACATAACAAAAGAAAACCGAAGAAACGAAAGACCTCTTCAATGAAAATTTTCTTTATGAAATGGCAATATTACCAAAAGAAATCTATAGATTTGACTCAATACAATCCCCATCAAAATAATAGTGACATTCTTCACACAAGATACGGAAACATGAAGGACTGCACAGCAATCCCAAACAAGAAAAATGGCAGAAACACCATGACACCAGATGGTAATGCTATAGAGCAGTAACAAAAACATACATTAGATCAATGGACAGGAAATTCAGGAATAATCTCACACAATGTAGTCACCTGAGCTTCAACAAAGATGTGAACATTACAACAAATGATATTAGAGAAACTGAGTGGGCACCAATAGAAGAGTATAACTAAATCCTTATATCTCACCCTGAACAAAACTAACAAACTAGTCAAAGACTTTACTGTAAAACTTGAAATCTCAAACAGCTATGTTATGGGAAACAAGAGGCACTAAGAGGCACTAATAAGTTCTATCTGAAAATGAGTACAATAGTTTAGTAAGTAACACTAAAACTGGCAAATGGAATTACATGAAATTCAAACTCAAATACGGCTCAGTGAAGAGATATTTGACAGAGAATTAATATACAGAATATATAAAGAACTCAAAAGCAAAAAACAAAAATCCATACAACCTAATCCATAAACAGACTAATGAAATAATGAACAGTTCTTATAGTCAAACATCTTAGTCATCAGGGACAACATTGAGATTCCACTTCATCCCATTCAAAATGATTACAAAAAAAAAAAAAAAAAAAAAAAAAAAAAAAAACTCCAAAAAAGATAAAGTTTAGCAATCATAGTCATTATATTTCATATTCAGCTAATCTAAAAAAAAAAAAAAAAAAAAAAAACCAAAACTCTTAACTGTACCACCATAACAAAACCACAATCCATTGTTTTGTGTTTTGCTACCATCTCCCAAGATCCCTGTGTGCTCAGCAAGTCAACAATAGTCCATTTACTTGACCCAGCTTATGGAACATAAATGTGACAGATAACTAAAAAAAAAGAAAAAAGAAAAAAAGAAAAGAAAAATTATGGTGACCAAAAAGAAATACTTTAGTGTGTATCAAAACTAAGGTTTTATATAATAAATGAAAGAATGGCACAAATGTAAATGGCAATTTAGGTATTCCATTTCCAACCAAAGAACACATCCTAGTCAATTCTCTAACAAAAATGTATTAAATGCAGCAATCAGATATGGCTGCTTCCATGTATCTACAGAATTAACAGTAGGTAGAAAGTAATTAACCACCTGCTGAAACTGTAACAAGTTCTTTCATATCATGGAAAGATAGAAAATGTAGCATCTATAGAACCAACCACTGACAATCTGCCACAACATCTCCACAAAGTAACATTCATACAACTGTAACTTAGGGCTGCCAAGGTAAAGGTGCTTGTAGCCAACCCCCAAAGACCCAAGTGGAAACAGAGAAGTGACTCTTATAAGAAGTCCTCTGACCTACACATGCAAACCATGGCACACATGACCCTGGCAAATAGGGTAAAAATCACTTACCCATACTGTGGTGCTCCGGTTTTAATGTCTCCTATAGTGACATGAACATCATCCTCATCATCATCACTGTCACTGTCACTATCATCTTCAGTCTCAGTCACTTTCTATACCAACAAAACAATTACAAAATGCATTCAATAACCCAACTCAGCATTTAATATTAACAGATAAAATTAATTATTGTTTTCTTGAAATTGTTTTAGAGTAAAAATTACAAGTTCATAAAACTGTTACCACAACGTTGATGGTCTACAATAAATGAGTTTTATGAATGAGAAAACAGAACTTTTATTGCCATCTTTCAGAGAATACATGCATCATGTTTTCAATGCTGTTACCTATTTGGTAGTTTTTACTACTGACACTGAATCTCACAAATGTTTTACTCATAAGAATTTCTCAAGTACTTATTTTTAAATAATTCTACCTTACAGATACATTTCCTTAGATTCATTTTGCAAGGCCATTACTTAGAATTAAAGGCTCTACATATAACTGATTCAAGAAGCATAACAATGATAATAATCTTTTTCTAACTAAAATGAATTTGCTTACAATGGTTTTAGTATGGATCTAAAAGCTTACTATCAAGCTTACTTATGACAGTCTGTTGAGCTACAACTATTTAGTTATTTGAAAACAATAAACAGCAAGCCTTTGCATCTGTTGTATGTCCTCTGAAGTTTCTTCCCATTATGTTTTCTCCTTACTAAGGCCTACATATTCTTTTGATGCTATCAAAGGACTGGGTTTCAAAGCCTGATATGTATGTTACCGGTTTTGACACTCCATTTTCAGCAGCTTCCTCTTCAATTCCAGCTGGAGGATTAGCACTGTAACAAAAGAAAGTGAGCAGACAGGTTGGGTGCTGCTGCTTCAAGCAACAATTACACTACAGTTCCAAGCTATCTTTGACAGGATTCCCTAAAGTTATTATCTCTACTGGATGATGAGAACAAGACTGGTAACTGTCTAGTTTTCCTGTTAAATGTACATAAAGCAAGTATTCAGATGGAAGTAAGCATTGGGCTTACTTGATTTTTTTTTTTTTTTTTTTTTTTTTTGAGACAATATCTTTGAACTTAACATGTAGACCAAGCTGGCCTCAAACTCAAGATTTCCCCTTGCCTCTGCCTCCTAAATGCTGGTATTAAAAGTATGTGAAACCCCTCTCTGCTCAACAATTTCTTAAAGACATACAATTTGATGGTAGAACACAATTCAAGTTCACACTGCACATACCACTTTTACCTCATGAATCTTTTACTAAATATCTGCTGAGTGTCAAGGACTATAGAATAGCCAAAGACTACATAATAAGGTTTCACTTCTCCCAGCAGCCCATGAAATCCTACACAATAGGATCACATTAACTCAGTGCTCAGCACACACACTTGCCTGCTTTGCTGTTCCACTTATAGAAGACTAATTTGACTTGTCACTTTGCAACAAAAATTGTGTCATTTAAACAAACAAGAAAATCCACATTGCCATTAAACTCTAGTCATTAACCAAATATACTTCCAGAACTACAGTGTAGTAAGTTTCTTAACAGTAGGCTTTAACTGTTTTACAAACAGAAAAACTGTACAAAACAATGAATTGACTTGGCCGAAGTCTCTGAAATTTTTATTATCGTTTCATGGTAAAATGTTTACATTTGACAAGTTCAATGTCCTTCTCATTAGTCATGCTTATCTTCCCTAAGCCTCACTCTACTACTTCTTAGTGGCAATTTTCAACACCATACCCAAGTAAATAAAGCAAATTAAGAAACTGAAAACGTCAATTCTTCCTGTCCAAACACTGGACTCAAGAGAAATATTCTACTAGAATTCTTAATTCAATAACTGGCTTAAATGAACTTCTAGAGAGCCAGAAACAAGTTTTGTTCACTTGTATGTATGCACATGCCTGCAAGCAGTGGGATGAATTCTTGGTGTGTTTTCCATTTCACAGGACAATGTACTATATTCAGCTAAAACCTGGACACATAAAGCATTAACAGTACTGAAATCAGTGTAATGTGATGCTTACAGACAGTGTAATTTCAGGCTTCAGCAATGAACCAGTCATAATGAAAATGGCAAATTCAACAGCAGGGACCTGGGCAAGATAATGCAAGGATGCATTCTAGCTTTGCCTGAATTCTTTTCCCCATTAGACATAAACTTTCAACTCCTTATCACCATTAAAATATGATCATATATAAAAGACAAATGCCCTCCTATGGGATGTGACACACATAGATTTTCAAATGAAAAGCAACAGTACTTAAAGAAGGCAGAAGTAGACTGACTCCAATGAATTGTCACACAGAATTCAAGAGTGAACTTTAAGGAAGGAGAGCTGGTTCAGAGCATGTGCTGCTCTTCCAGGACCCACAGAACATGTGGGTCCCAACACCCACATAACAGCTCACAACCATCTGTAACAGCAGCCCTAGCTGCAATGCCTTCTGTCTTCCACAGGTACCAGGCATGAACATACATGCAGGGAAAACACCAACACACATAAAATTAAAAAACAAAGACAACCCAATCAAAGTAAACATAGAATTGTAGTTAAGTAATAAAACTTGGAGATAAGGATTAGCCCATAAAAATATGTATTTGATTATAATTATACCTTGCAATCAACTTCTTGACACTTAATGAAATGGATATGCAAAAACCACTTTTTTTTCCTCCAAGACAGGGTTTTGTTTTGTAACCTGGGCTGTCCTGGAACCTGGTCTATAGAACAGGCTGGCCTCTAACTCACAGAGATCCACCTGCCAGAGCCTTCCAAGTGCTGGGACTACAGCCCTGTCAGATATTACAGAAATGAGTGGAGGTAAAGGAGGGCATATCTGGAAGAACACTGCAAATTCAGCTCTGCTTCCTTTTCATTTTATTTTACTGATGCAAAAGAATTTACTTGTAATGGATCTCAGTTTATTTTAGAGACTTAATGTTAAGACATAACTCATATCTGTTCATTTAAAGACTACACTTAAAGGAATGTTTTGTTCACAGTGTTATGTTATGAAATCCTAGAATGAATACAGGGGCTCCCAAAAGAAATCTTGTATCACTGGTCACCCCATTTTCTCCTACCCCATAATTCTGTCTCTATGGATTTGTTTATTCTGGATACTTTATGTGTGTTCACCAATGTTGTAGCAAGTCAGTACTTGACTTCCTTCCACCATGAAATATCCCCATAAGGGTACACTGCATCAAATCTATTAATTTGTATGGTGGTGAACAGGTGAGTTTTTTCCATTTTCCCAACTAGCTATGATTAATGCTAAGAACACTGATGTTCAAGTTATTATGTTCATGTATGTTTTCACTTCTCCAAGTAAAAGTGAGTAGAATTCTGACCATGTGAAGAGGCTACCAGAGTATTTTTCCAAGAGAGAACATCACTTTACAGTAGCATCAGCAGTGTATAAATGAACCAGTTTCTCTATATCCTCACTATCGCTGTTCTACCTTTTGGATTATCCTGCTAGGTATGAGGTCTTATCCCCTCCACTTGAAAACTGAAATAGTCTTTAAATGATCTGTATGTGTGATACATGTGTGCCCAGGTTTGTGCATGCACCTGTGCATGCCATGTGGAAGCCCAAAACATCAAGAATCCTCCCAGTAGCATTCCACCTTCGTCTCTTTTCTAGACAGTCTCTCATTGAACCTGGAGTTCACCAATACTGAATGGATGGAGAGTGAGGGCTAGAGATCCTGCTGTCTAAGTCTCTCCTAGAATGCATGTCCACATGCTTCTGCTGCATGCATTTCACCAACTGAGCCACTTCTCCAGGCCTTGATTGCCCTGTTTAAAACACTCCTTCCCAGGCTGGAGAGATGGCTAAGTGGTTAAAAGCACTGGCTGTGCTTCCAGATGACCCAGGTTCAAATCCCAGCACCAACATGGCAGCTCAAGACTGTAACTCCAGCTCCAGGATACCCTCATGCAGGCTAAACACCAATGCACATAAATTTAAAATATAAAACAAAACAAAACCAAAAACCATTCCTCCCCTCATTATTTCAGACAGTCATCTGATCAAAGTAAAGCCAATTTAGTCATGAGAGATATTGAAATTGTTAGCAAATAAATGCTTGGTTCCTTGGACACACTCTGTAAAATACAAAGTTTTGGGTAGTAACAAAAGAAACCAACTTCTAAAAAAAGTATGTATGTGTGCATGGTAGAGTAGCATCACTTCCTTCCAAAAATTAGTTCCATTATGAATTTAAATACACAGAGAGCACTGAAATTTTAGCCAACCCAAGCATAGTGGCACAGGCTTTTAATCCTAGTAATCAGGAGGCAGAGTCAGGCAGATGTGTGTGTGTGGGTCCAAGGACAGCCTCAACCACAAGGGCATTTCCAGGCCCATTAGGGCCACACAGTATGTACTATCTCAAAAAAAAAAAAAAAATTACACCAAAAGTAAATAATACTATGAGATACTATAAGAACATTAATAAATCACAAAAGCAACAATTTTCAGTTATTATTTTAAATCTTGCAGCAAATTTTTTTTCTCAGTAATTCAATAACATTCAGCTAGGTGTGGTGGCACACTCCTTTAGTTCCAGCACTCAAAAGGCAGAGGCAGGTGGATCTCTGAGTTCCAGGCCAGCCTGGCTTACAAATCGAGTTCCAAGACAGCCGGGCTACATAGACTACACAATAAACCTTGTTTGGGTTAAAAAAAAAAAAAGACCAACCAATTACATTATATACTCCACTACTAACCTCAGTTAAGAGCAGAAAGTACTCAATGGTGAAAAGTTGGCACTTAACTCCAAAAACTGTCTTATAAGTTACTAGAAACCAACACAGAATTGGTCCTGAAATAGGATGACTCCTCCAAACTTTGGTCAAAATGTAATTAAGCCAAGGACGGCATTGAAACAGTTGACAACGTGCTAGATTTGCAATCTACATAAAACATCAACAGGAAAAGTTCACCAACCTGGCATTTTCTTCTTCTGGCCTTTCAACTTCATTTTCATCTACCAAATAAAATAATAAAATAAAGTAAATGAAGAAATCAAGCTTAAAGTAACAAAGTATTATAAAAATCTGAAGGAAACAAGCACTAACCTAGGTCCTTTGCCAAATCACTGTGCACATGCACGTCCCATGGGCCTACAAGCATAGCCAAAGTTAGATCACTTTATAAACAGGATACATCCATTATATGGGGAAAAAAAACCCAAAAACAAGATCAAGACTTCACCACTATATATGCTTAATTTAAGAGGTAGTGTGGATTTATACAACTTGGTACAAGAAACCCTGCACATTTCACATGTTAAGGGTAATGCTGATGCTAAATCTTCCCATTAAAGAAATAGTTAAATTTACAAATGTATCAGTTACATCACTAAAAGGCTGCCTAGATTCATTCCAGAGTGCACTTTCGTATAATATTCTAAAACAGTCAAGAATTTATATTCTAGGCAAGAACAAAATACATTCAAATCTGGTTTAACAGACAAGGGAGATTACGACTTAAAGTTAAAATCCAGACATAAAACATGTCCTCTACAAAACATAGTACATGATGCATTAAATTTAGGCAAACAGAAATACATGACACTGAAAACAAGTCTATGGGAAGAGTCACGAGGTACAACTATGACGTGGACTATAGAGCAGTCTCTTAAAAAATTAAAACTTCACCTTAATACAGAAGATTCAGGGTTTTCTTTATGGGCCATAGTGTATTCCATCTGACTCTCTTAATTAATATTTTTAAAGCATGACTTTCATACAAGGAGGTACCCTTGCAGGTGCATCCCATACAAACTGACCATCAAGAAACAAGGCGGACGTTAGTTTTATAGCATTAACTTTATTTAGCCGTAATTACAAAATGACTGTTTCTGAAAGAAAGGGACGAGAAAGGGCACCCAACAACCACCGAGCGAGAGACACACCGAAGCAGCTCAGGATCGATAGAAAAGGCATGAATAGAGAGCGCAGAAGCGAGGAGGCCGGGACGGTGGGGAGGAGGGCGAAGCGGGGCTGCCCGGCCTCCTTGGCCCGCGTCCACCGCGCGGTGAGCGGCTGCGGGTCCGGGCGAGGGCCGGGAGGTGCAGGCCGCGCTCGGCCTAACTCAGGCCGGCCAGGGCTAGTACGAGAGGCCCCGGACGCCCGGGACTGCGACGCCGGGAGGAAGGCCAGAGAGAACCCGGGAGACAGACAGGAAGTTCCGTACCGCCATACAGCCACTCTTCCTCCTCATCCCCTCCGGTCCCGCTGCTCAGCTCCACCAGGCGCTCGACCTCGCCGGCCGACATGGCCGCCCCACGCACAAGTTAAAGGCGACGATCAACAGCCCTTTCAACCCTTCCCCAGCCTCGCTGTCCCGGGGCGCGAGAAGGGGAGCGAACCCGCCGAGAAGCGAACGAAGAGAGCGCGAGACTCAAAACCAAGGTGGATCTCGACGGAGGGAGCGACCATGAAGATTCTGCCCCTGGCCCGCATGCGCACGCGCATGCGCAGCAGTGCCCAAGCGGCGCGGCGTCTCTAGGTGGCTTCGCTTCCGCGGCGGCCGGCACCTGTGCCTCGGTGCGCGTGCGCAGCGCGATTGGCTCCTCCCCTCCCCCACCCCTAGGATTCTTGCTTTGCTTTCCAGAGTGGCTTTTGCTCAGGCCTCTGGTGTTCTTTGAAGCTCCCTTCCCCCCACACCTCCACTTCCAATCCTCAGTTTCCCATTGTTCTTTTGTGTACTTGATGCTTTTCTCCTCCATCATTTGTTTATTTTAAAACCCCTCACGTGTTTACTTGGTACAGACATCATACTTGTCTTCCGGTTTCTCATCTAGTCATTCGTCGAAATTTTAACAAGCAACAAAAGAAAATGTAAAATATATATAAAGAATGCGTTCTTTTTGTTTAAAAAAAGTATTAGCACCGGGCATAGTGGTGCACGCCTTTAATTCCAGCATTTGGCAGGCAGAGACAGGCAGATCTACGTGAGTTCCTGGTCTATATAGTAAGTTCCAGGATAGTCTGGGCTGTACAGACACTATGACTGGACAGTTTAATGTCAAAACAATCTAGTCATCAGAGTGGAGGGAACCTAAATTAAGAAAATGCCTTCATAAAATCGGGCTGTAGACAAACCTTCAGAGTATTAATTAGTGATTGTTGGGGGAGGGTCCAGCTTTAGGCTCTATCACTATCCCCCGTAGTTCCACGGGATCCTGTTGGTTTTAATTGTTCTTAGCTTTGAACTCACTATTCCCTGTTATGCACTGCTGCCCTATCAGAAATTCTTGTATCGTTTTAACTTCTAAGTACCATCTCCTCTGTAAAATCTTTCCCAAATTCAACAAATATGTATGAAAGTCTGCCCAAGTGTCAGGAACTCTCCAAGGCTATATAACTTTGGCAATAAAAATTCTTCCTTTCATAAAGCCTGTATTCTCACTGGATTTTAAAGCACTGAACATAGAAATACACCAGGTTGATAAGGATTAAGAATAATAATAGCTGTAAGGAGCCACAGAGCAAAGTGATTAAAAGAGCAGAGGTGTAATCATATATCAAGTGGTACAGGAACACCAGTAAGATGAGGTCAAAAAAGTAGACACTGGCATGGAGAAAGGCAGTAAGTTCCGTGGATTCCTGGGAAGGAACTACTTGACAGGATATTAAGAAAATGTAAAGGCCCAGAGACTGAAGGGTTCTAGGCACCCAGCTGCACTTAGAGTGAGGGGCTGAATGTAGAGTAAAGAGCTGGGCAAGCAGATGAGACCAGCAGGATTAGGAGTGAAGGGGTAGAGTAGAGCTAATAACTCCTTTAGAGCACAGGCTGCTTTTAAGTCATGTCTCTCACATTATGTGTCAGGTATTTGACCACATAGCTAATTTTGCCCAATCTTCACTGGGCCAAATCTGCCTTCATCTTATCTTTTTCTCCCATCTGTTATATAGTGCACAATATCTTTTTGGCCTTTGATAAAAGAAATAAAAGAAGGCTTGCTATCTGCTTGATAGTACCACAGGCAGCCACTGTGGTTGTCTCTATTTTCATTGTTTTGTGTGTCTATAATAAAATTTGGTGGTTTCATGAGAGAGTTGGCCATCTTTTTTCAGAGCAGGCTGTTTTTCCTTCCTATCTACAAGGAGTTTGCCTTCCAGAATATTGTTTCGACTAAAACAAAGAATTTATGAATGGTTCTGGATACATTAGAAATGCCTGTGTAGTGGAGGTAGCACTTGAGCTAACCTCTGAAACGACTTCTACAAGCAGAGAAGCCTATAAATCATTAATTACCATCTTTAATAGGCTTCTTCTCTCCCCCTTTCAAACAGAATTCTTGTGTGGGTATGCTCAATCATATGGCTGTGGTTAAAGAGTTGTTATCGCTCCATTTGCCATGGGAAACTTTGAGTCTAAGTAATTTGACTATTTTGTAGACTCTCACTTCCTATGTTATTATCTCATCACACTACAGTGTTATACTTATCCTGAGTATATTTATTTCCACTTCATTATTTATTGTGATTTATTCTTAGCAACAATAATAACAATGATAATAAGAGTGAATCAAGCCTGGCAGTACACACTTGTCCTCCCAGGTATTCTGGAGGCTGAAGCTGGAGATTCACTCAGGCTCACAAGTTATCAGCATGGGCAGCATCTCAAAATAACGCCAATAACAATGGTATATTTTGATATGATATATATTCTTGAGAAGTACTGAAAAGTAGTGAATAACTACAATGAGTAGACAACTAATTACCACTAAGATGATGCCAAGAGACCAGGTATGGCGGTATATGTCTTTAAACTCATCAATCAGGAGGCAAAGGCAGGTAGATCTCTAAGTTTCAGAACAGCCAGGGCTATGTAGAGAAAGAATCCCATCTCAAAACAAACACACAAGATGATGCCAAGAGTTAAAATCTAATTTAAAATGTCAGGTTCAGTAACTAGTATGTAGGAGTTCCATGTCCATAAAGGTTTTTTAAATGGTTAGATTGCTTAGACTCTATGTCACTTGAATAAGATCCCAATGTTCTTTAATTTACACATCAGTGAATCCATACCTTAATTAATGTTTTTATATCCACTGTTGAAAGGATAACAGATAAAATGGAGGTTTCAAACATGACAACATTTGAATACGGGTTGGGGATAATTGCCATGCAAGTGTGAAGTCTAGAGTTCAGATACCCAGAACCCACATAAATGCTGGGTGAGCCTGTCAGCCCACCTGTAATTCTAGCCTCAGGTGGGAGATCCCCAGAACAAGCTTGCTAGTAAGATTAGCCATACTGACAAGCTCAGGGCTTAATTGAGAGACCCTAAATCAATGAATAAGATGGAAGAACAATTAAGGATGGTTCCCAACATGAACCTCTGGCTTCTACATGCATATATACACACATGCACACACACACACACCTACATATATGCATCTACATACCTGTATACACACATGCGCGATACAACTGCGTTATGATCTTTCTGGACAGCCCGAATCCACAGCTGCGTCACAATAACACACAGAGACGCTGTATTGGATATAATGCTGTTGGCCAATTACTAGTGTTAGCCAGTTACTAAGACGGCTAGCTCTGTCTTAAATATTAACCCATTTCTCTTGATCTAAGTATTTCCACATGGTTTAATCTTACCAGAGAGAGGGCCTGGAACTCTGTTTTCTCTCCATCCTACATGTTGAATTTCCTCTTACCTCTCCCTGAATTCTCCTTGTCTCCTAGTCCTTGCTTTCCTATTGGCCAACAGTGCTTTATTCATTAACCAATACGAGAAATAGAATGATATCTCCCATCACACCTGCATGGAAAATGGATCAAGAAAACATTTGACTAGATAGAGGCCAGTTGGTGCCTTATTGTGCAATCAACCTTTCCTCCTTTGACATGCCAGGGTACCTATGCCCGTGGAGAAGTTTCCTTTTTAAGACACTGGTTTGAGGAATTAAGCCCCAGCTGCTGTCCTACTATCTGCATCTTGGCATCTTTTAACAAGAAGTTTTAGATTGCTATTTGTCTCTGGAACATTGCATCATCTTCTATTCACTTCTCTGCTGCTGTGTGAAGTTCTAATAGCTTTGAATGATAAGAACAAAGCATTCTTATCTTTGAACTCTCCAGATTCTATATCATAATGTCACCATATGGAAAAACCTTCACTGCATCTTTACCTAAGCTCTGACGACACCTATAAAGGATGTAGACACGATTTTATAATAATACATATAATACATATAATAAACATAATGACTATTTCTGTAGAGAAATACACATTACAGCCTAATTAGATAAATGTGATAGTCTTTTCTTCCTTTTAAATGTGCTTTAGTGTTTTTGTCATGGAAAGTTTTGGATCTCCTGAAACTGAAGTTACAATTGTGAGCTGCCATGTTGGTGTTGCAAGTTGAACCAGGGTACTCTGGAAGAGTAGTCAGTGCTCTTAAATGCTGAGCCATCTCTCCAGCCCCATGATAGTCTTAAAGAGGTCATTTTTATTTTTAATCAGAACTCCATTTTCTACACCATAACATCTGAAAGAAAGGATTTTTTACCCTTGCATTTTTTTCTGTTTACCTAGCAGCTCCCTTGGACAGCTATAGGTATTTCAAACTTACGCCCAAAGTAGAACTAATAAATTGTCCTTTCACACTTCTTCTGTCCCTTTTTCACACTCCCCCAGGTTTGCGTGCATCTTCATTTTAGTGACCACATCCAAATAATATTATCAGTTCAAACTCCTCAAATCTCTGACTCTCCATTTCCTCTCAGCTATGCCTCTTATGCCTCTAAAACTCCATTACCAACATCTTTTAGTATTTCCTACAAAGTGTCCCCCAAATCTGCCCACTTTTCTCTATCCCCATTGCCACCTAACAATTCAAGTCACACACAACCTTTCAATGCCTGTTTTTAATGTGAACAGAAATCTAAGCTTCCTTACTCATGACCTACCAGCTACATGTACAGCATGAGCCACTCGGGATTTATACTGCATATATTTTAGATTTTTAAAATATGTTGGTTCCCCCATATTACTACTACAGACTGAGTGTTTGTGCCCCAAGCCCCCACATCCCCAATTTCTATGCCAAAACTTTACATCAACTATGTGATGGTATTTGAAGAATGGTCCTTAGGAAATAATTAGGTGCTTCTAAATGTAACAGAGATTATTGTCCCTATAAGAATAGCTATCTGTGGAGACTGGAGATAACAGTGTCAGTCCTTTGGCCATCATGGACCACCATCAGAGCATTGTGGTTTCAGGTCCCTGTAAAAATTCTCCTCTTCCTAGTTCATACCACCCACCTTAACAACTCCACCTTGCTTTTTCTCTTCCCCTCATTCACAGATGATACCAGGACTGAACATGGGATGAAGTCTTTTTCTCCCCACCACTAAGCATCACAGTGCATGACTCTCATATCCTACTTTCTTCATGTTCTTTTTCCATTCTGAAATCTATTCAACCATCTTCACCATTTACTTCACTCCAGCAGTCTACAATCAAGACTACTCCATGGATTTTATTAAATTCTGAAAATTGTTCACCAGGAAAAGTAGAGGCCCAGTCCTTTCTTTGACTTTAACCTTGCACTTGCCTAATTTTCTTCCTCATTCCTTTAGCACCTTATTCTCTTCAACGTCATGGAGATAGTTCCTAGGGTTCTTAGTCCTCTCCCCACCATCTACTATTCCATCTGTCTTGTCTGCCCTGTCTTCTAGCACATGTTAAATCCAATAGATTCTTTGCACATTCCGCTATACTCTATATATTCCTCCTTCTTGAAGTGTAGATCCATTGTGATTTCAAACACTGGCTTTTCTTCTGAATTCTCCCAAGATTGCTCAGAACTTTTCCCATCATATCTTTATCTTCTATATTCTCCATATTCTCTTAAAGCAGTCTCAGTATGGCTATGCTAATTATTGTCAAATTACCAGACATGTCTCCTGCAAGATAGAATCATATATCCAATAATCTGGTAGTCATTTCTCCAATCCAAGTACTAACCAGGCCCAATCCTGCATAGCTTCCAAGATCAGACCAGATTGGGCACATTCAGGGTAGTATGGCAGTAGACACTGGTAGTCATTTCTAACTGTATGTCTCCAAGTATTTTCACAACAATATACTTCTTCACACATTATATGGCCACTTGAAAGAGAATATATAAAATATTTGAAAGGATGTAATAAACTTGAAACCCTGTGCATTGTTAGTGGGAATATAAATGTTATACCTACTGTGAAGAACATAGTTTTCTCAGAAAATCTAAAATACTTACTATATGGTTCAGCAATTTTAATCAAAAGGATGGAAAGCAAAATCTGTAAGATATCTGTGCACCTATGATGTCTACAGCAGCATTATTCATAAAGGCCCCAAAGTGACAAAGCTCAAATGTCTATTGATAGATTAATGAACAAAGACGATGGGCTCTATGCATACTACAAATTATTATTCAGCATTTAGAATGAAAAGTATAAACAAAAAAACTGGGGCTGGAGAGATGTCGCCATGATGTAGAGCTTTTGGTGCTCTTGCAATAGACCTGAGTTCTACTCACAATTCTCTATAATTACAACTCAAGGGGATTCAAAGCGCTGGCTCTAAGTGCAACTGTACACACACACACACACACACACACACACACACACACACACACACACCTAAAAATTAAAAAAAATAAAACTTTGAAATGAACACAATAGCATGTGTCCCAACTAGATAGACATGAGGACATATGTTAAGTGAAATAAGTCAATCACAATCAAGCAGACAGTATATGAACCCACTTACATGACCTACAGTTGTCAATTCACAGAGAACAGAATTAAAATAGAGGCTGTAAAAGGGTGTGGGGGCATGGGAGTTGGGAGCTGTGGAGAGGATGGGGATTGTTATTTAAAGGGTATGGTTTTGAAACTACTTTGATTTTGCAAAATGAAAAATTCCAGATGTTAGCTATATAACAGCATGAATGTTTATTTTTAATATTACAGAACTGTACATTTAAAATGATTAAGGATGGTGTACTGACTGGCTTTGTGCATCAACTCGACACAAGCTAGAGTCATCTGAGAGGGAAAAGTCTTAGTTGAGGAAATGCTTCCAGGAAATCCAGCTGCAAGGCATTTTCTGAATTAGTGATCAATGGAGGAGGGCTCAGCCCATAGGGGGTGATGCCATTCCTGGGCTGATGGTCTTAGATTCTATAAGAAAGCAGCCTGAGCAAGCCGTGTGAAGCAAGCCAGTAAGCAGTCCCCCTACATGGTTTCTGCATCAGCTCCCTGACTTCCTTTAGTGGTGAACAACAACTTGGAAGTGTAAGTTAAATAAACCCTTTCCTCCCCAACGTGCTGTATGGATATGGAGGCACGAAGGAGGCAGAGGCAGGAAGATCTTTATATGAGTTTTCAGCCAGCCTGGTCTACATAGTGAGTTCCAGGACAGTCAGAACTACATAGTGAGATCCTATCTACACACACACACACACACACGCACACACACACACACACACACACACACACACACACACACAAATAAATAAAATTTAAATTTTTTGTTTTTGTGTTTCAAGGCATGGTTATCTTGTGAAATAGTCCTGGCTGTGTCCTGGAACTCACTTTGTAGACAAGGCTGTCCTGGAACTCACAAGATCTGCCTGCCACTGCTTCCCAAGTGCTGGGATTAAAGGCATGTGCCACCACTGCCTGGCTAGTTAATTATCTTATGCATACTTCCACAATTAAATAAAAACAGGTCTCAGATGGAGATCAGTATACTTATTCCTCAACCTTATTCTCTTTCAGTTTGCTAAATCTCAGTAGTTGTAAAATGAACCAAAATAGACACGTGTGTGTGTGTGTGTGTGTGTGTGTGTAAAACATTTCAAATTAGCTTTCTACACAATAATATGGAACTCTTTTTCAAAAAACCCACAGGCAAACAAATTCTTACTCCAAAACTGCATTCAAAGTTCCCACTACTTAGAAGAGAAAGTAAAGACTTGCCCTAGTCTTGTCTATTTCTTCTGAGAACTTTTTTACATACATCTCAGCTATGAAAATTAAGGTTGGGAGATTCCAGTTTCCTGGTGTATGTCCTAGTAACAAATATATTAAGAAAAACAGCTGTGTTAGAACTTTAGCTCAATGATGTGACAAGCATTTTTAGGAACACAGTTCAACTGACTGCTATATGTCAGTAAATTCTGACAAAAGACTGGTAGAGGTGACGAGTTAGGAAATACCACCAGCTGAAAGGTAGAATTAGAATTTGCTTTGAGAGAGCAAGACTTGCCAGGTATACATTTTTGTATTTTAGGAAGTGGTTTCAACTAGACATTGAATCTTGAAGCTTAGCAAGCAGAAATGGTGGGAAATCATTGTGGTTGTCCAGATGAATGATGATGTTAGCTGGGGGAAAGAACGAGAAAGTAGAAGTTTTGAAGCAGATCAAGATTTAGATGTAAGAGGAAAGCTTGAGAAAAGAGAAAATTTTCCTTGTGTGCGTGTTGTGTTGAGGGTGGGGGATATTGTGCTTGCCATAGTGAGCCTGTGGAGATCAGAGGAGGACAACTTTCCTGGAGTCCTTTCTGAAAGGGGCTTTAGAGTCAGCACAGAACACACCCTAATTCTCAGCACATAGATTTTTGTTACCCCCACTGTGGGGGCTGCTCTGGATGGGGCAAAGACAGCAGCAGGTGTTTCTTCTGCAGGAGTGGTTTTTAAAGAGAAAAAGAGAAGCCTGTGTTAGGATGAGTTGGTGACGCATTAGTCAATGTAGCCAAATAATGATTTTTGATTGCTGGACCTTGGAGGTTTAGTCAGACATAAGGAAGTGGCCAAATAAGAGAATAGACCTCGGTGACTAGCTTTAGGAATATAATCTAGCAAGGAAGAGGGCAAGAACTGTCAGCGCCATGATCTTCATTCTCTCTCTTTCTACAATGAGTCCCAAGAACCAAGAATCTGGTCATCTGGCTTGTGTTGCAAGAGCTTTCACCCTCTGAACCATCTTGCTGTCCCAGTAGGTATTTCACGAGAGTTGTGCAATAAACTACGATGTAGCAGTAATTATTCCTGTTTCATTTCAAAGTTGAGCTGGGGAAGTGCCTGTGTTGAAAATAGTAAACTTCAGCATAGGTCTTATTATTCCTGAGAACCCTTAACTGGGAGGAAAAGGAGACGTGAGCTGACAGGGAAGGACAAACATGACCCATTTCAATCCCTTCCTAGAAAGCACCCTGCTGCAGCTTTTCAGGATGAGGGAGGCTCTAGGTACAAGCCGGTTTGCACTGCCTGCACAGAAGTTCATCCCGCCAGCCCGCGCGCCTGGCTAGCCAATCAGCTTCTTAAACGTCATCAGCGCGCGCGCACTTGGAGCGTCAGCGACTGGCCCACGTGTACTGTGTTGACTGTCAAAGTCTGAAGGTACTCTGTATCCGGAAGGAAGCTCTGAGTTCTGACTGAAGTTCTGCCCGCCACCCGGCTAGTCCACCGGCCAGCCGGCGAGTCCCCAACCATGAGCTCCGCGGGCGTCCTGTCTTTCGCCCAGCAATGCTGGGAGCAGGTGCTGGCCAAAGTGAAGTGGTCCGTGGTTTACCTGGACGCCGCCTGCGCAGAGAGCCTGCACTGGAGCTGCGGATCCAGCCGGCTGCTGGAGGCGGTGAAGGGCCCTGCCTGCAACCTGAGGGAATTTGAGCCCCAGGCTATTGGCGGTGGAGCCCAGCAGCCCCGGGCAGTGTTCGTGTTGAGCTGCCTGTTGAAAGGCCAGACTGTAGACACTCTACGAGACATCATTCGCCGCAGTCACTTTCAGTACTGTGTGGTGGTCACAGCCGTGAGCCACGCGGTCCACCTCACTGCTAACCATGTACCAGCGGCTGCAGCGGCCGAGCTAGAGGGGCAGCAGCCTGTGTTTGAACAGCTGGAGGAGAAGCTACGTGAGTGGATGGGCAACATGAACTACATGGCTGAGGTGCTGCACGTCCCTTTGCTGCTCGCCCCTGCTGCTCCCCACCTTGCCTTTACTCCTGCCTTTGGTACTCTTTTCCCACTGCTACCTCGGGATGTACATCTCCTTAATAGTGCCAGACCCGACAAGAGGAGGCTGGTCAGCTTGAGTGAAGTGGATGCCACTGCCCTGCCCCCAGAGCTGCTGCTGCACATCAGATGCCTGGTGTCAGGCCTCAGTTCTCTGTGTGAGCATCTAGGGGTACGAGAGGAGTGTTTTGCTGTGGGTTCCCTCAGTCGGATCATCGCTACAGATCTGGCAAATTATGCCCCTGCCAAGAACAGGAAGAAGACCGCTGCAGGCAGGGCTTCTGTGGTCTTTGTGGATCGAACTCTGGATCTCACAGGTAAGTGGGGTTTCTCGGAGTTCTTCTTCACTCTCCCAGTTACAGGACCTTTTCATCGATTCAGCATTATTGGCCTTGTATTGAGATTGATGATACAAAGGCGAACTAAACGAATTAGGAACTGTCCTCATTTGACAGCGTCTGGAGTTGTTTTGTCTGGTGGAGGAGGGGTGGGGTTAGACAAAGCACAGTATAACTTCTTAAATGCTGTAGGGGCAAATATGGCTTAGTGTGCATTTTTTTTTAAACAACTGTACTTCACTCAAGAGACTGGAAAAATGAGATGACCTTGACATGCAGGGAATTGCCACCACCGGAGACTGTTAGAAATGTCCTAATGCCAGTTGTCTTTGTTAAGGTTTCTATAGCTGTGATGAAGCACCATGACCAGAAACAACTTGGGGAGGAAACAGTTTATTTAGCTTAAACTTCCATATCATAGCCCATTAATGAAGGAAGTCAGGACAGGAACTCAAAGAGGGCAGGAACCTGGAGGCAGGAGCTGATGCAGAGGCCATGGAGGGGTGCTGCTTACTGGCTTGCTCCCAATGTCTTTCTCAACCTGCTTTCTTATAGCCCAGGGAATAACCTTAGTGTGTTTCCTGGGACCTGCATGTTTGAAGGAGAGACTGACTTATTCCAGTTGTCTCCTGAACTTACACACACCCTGTGGCTTTCAGTGCCCTCTATATGCAAATAAATAGGTAAGTGTACTTTTTTTTTTTAAAGTCATACTGGCTGGGTGGTGGTGACTCACACTTTTGATTCCAGCCTTTGGGAGGCAGAGGCAGGTGGATCTCTGTGGGTCTGAGGTCAACCTGACTTGCATAGCTAAGGCTACATACAAAGTGAAACCCTGTTTCAAAAAAACAAAATAAAACAGTGAAACTGACCTTACATGTAAGAAGATGAAAAAATATTTGAAATATTTTCAAATATGTATTGATTTATACTTAGCTCTCATTCTGTTGAAGTTTATATCACAATCTCAGATTGTAGCAATGTATTATTTATATGTGCAAGAAATAACTCTAACCTTAAAACAGATGAAAAAAATGCTTTCTGATATATTATATGAGCATTTATTGTCAGAGGTCACCTTTGCCTAGGATTAAGTAGATATCATTCAATAGTAGTTTGTGCTAGCCACTGCAGGTCAGTGAGAACAATCAGAAAACTGATATCATTAGGTATTCATTTATAGGTTAGGAAAAAAACTTGAGTGATGCTATAAAAACCGGTAAGAATTATATTTGAAATTTTACCTTAATTAGATCATAAAATACAGAGTTAAACGGTAGTTCTTCGGGAATACTAGTAGGATGGATCTATGGTAATCATAGATAATTTCAAGAGGGCAGTGGCCATGCCATGCCCAGATGGCAGAATTTCACAAAACACAAGCCAGCAGATCGATTCCATACCTCCCTGTGACCAAATCTACTACACTCTCTGTACAGTTTCCTTTTTCCTTCATATTTAAAAGGAACATTCCTGCCCTCCTAACATTTTTACACATGTAGACTAGCTCAGTGTTCTCTCTTAACACTTCTCATGGATTTACTTCTGCCAAGTACCACTAAGTTGGTCATTTCCCCCTTTTTCCCCAGACTTTCTTCTTTGTCATACAGGCAGAATGGAGCATATCCTTTCTTGACTCCTCATGATCATCCAACTCCAATTCCATTTTATTTGGGTTCATTTTGTAGCAGACTTGAGAGAGTTATCTAGATTGTGGAACTTGCTGTTTCAGTCATCTATGCCAGTTATTATCCTTTACTTCTATTCCATTAAGGTTTTATTTTCCAAAACTTCCCAGATAGTGGCTTTCCCAGTGATTTCTGTGGTTACATATTCATGGTTGAGTCATAGGACTCTCCCTCTCCCTGAACCTCAGAATAGCATTTACTACAATAGAATAAAGCAAAGAGTAAAAGGGAATTTAGGAATAGGGAGATGGCTAAGTGGGTAAAGTGCTTGCTACACAAGCATGGGGACCTCAGTTTGGATCCCAAAAACACATGTAGAAGCTGGGTGTGATGGCCTGGGTGTGAGAACGTACATCTGTAATCTCGGTGCTGGTCAGTGGTGGTGGTGATGTTTGATATGAAGGGGCATATCTAACCAATTGGTGAGCTCTAGGATCAACCATAGAATGTCTCAAAAAACAAAACAAAACAAAACCAAGATGGAGAGCCATAGAGAAAGGCATGCATTGTCTACCTCTGCCTTCTACAAGCACATGCAAAGGTGAATATTTCAGCAAACATATGGACACACCCCTAATTTAAAAATAAAAGATAAAGAGACGAGCACTTGGCGATTTTACTGTGTGATCTTATCAGCTATAAATCTGGCTTGCTGGATTTTTTTCTATGTCCTCTTCATAATAGTATTACATATTCTAGTTTGCTTTTGGTTGTTGTGATAAACTTGACCAAAGCAACTTGGTGAGGAAAGGGTTCATTTGGATTAGACTTTCAGATAATAGTCCATTACTGAGGGAAGTCAGGGCAGGAACTCAGGCAGGACCTAGATCAGAGACCAGGAAGTAATGCTCTTATTGAATTTGATTTCTTATACAACCCAGGACCATCTGCCCAGCAGTGACAATGCCAACAGTGGACTGGGTTCTCCATATCAATCATTGATTAAGAAAATGTCTCATAGAAGTGCCCATAGGACAATCTGATAGAGGCAATTCCTTAATCTAGGTTTCCTCTTCCCAGATAACTATTGTTTGTGTCAAGTTGACACAGAGTAACTGGAAGTGTTCAAGGCCACACCTGGTTTCCCTGGCCTTCCTCTTCTCAGGCAGTACCACCAACACTTTAAGCTTGTCCAGGTCACTGGAATGTTCACTCAGTTATCAATATGACTTCTCCCTCACTCCCCAGAGAGACCCTTTTTGACTGCTTTCTTTAACCCCATCCTGCCTTGTGCAACATAATTCTGACCACTACTAAGAACTAATAATTGATTGCTCCTCGTCCTTTCTTTTCATGATTGTGGAAGTGAGAGTATGTGTGTTCTACTTTATTATATATTTACTAGTGCTTGAAAAACAGTCTGTTTATGTATCTGCTGATTGATGGATTGTAATTCTTGGTATTGAATTCAGGGCCTTTTGAATGCAAGACAAATACTCTATCACTGAGCCGCATCTCCAGGCCTTGACTAAATAACTCCCACTAAGTGACTTTGAACTCAGTATGTGGCCAAGGCTCATCTTGAATTTTTTGCCTTTGCTTCTTGAGTACTGGGATTGCAGGCATGTGCCACTAGCCTGGATAAGCAATTATTGAATGGCTGGATTGATGAATGTATTAAGGGTTTCTGGAAACTAGACAGTCATTAATTTTACCATACTTTTTCTAATTGTTTCTCAGTTTAAATTTCACCCATAGCCATTTGCCCATGTAATGGGTATTTTCTAAGTATTAAATGTCTTAAACATTGTGTGATTGATATGTTGGGGCCACACAGAAAGGAAATATCAATTAACTGTATTTGTGCAAATATTTCATGGATAAAAACCACATTCATATTACCTTATGTAATCTTTTGGTAAGCTAGATGAGTCCTTACTTTTAGAATACAGTTAAGGCTCACAATTTGTTCCTTACCCAAAACCACACAAATGGTAAATAGTTATACATGTATGACATCATTGTATTAATATTCCCAACTTCCAGTATTTCATTAAGTTTCCAAGTGCATCTTCTGGTTTTTGAATTGTCCAGGAAAGCCTCATTCTTATAATCACCTACCTTACCCTTGAGAGTGCTGGGATTAAAGACCTATGTGTACTTAATACCTCTAAGTATCTTAAAGATATTTCCGTCATTTCACTTATTTCTATATTGTCCTTTAAACAGTACAAAGCAGACAGAGTATGGGGTGGGGACATTTAAGGACCTGAGAAAATGTTGAAAGGGAACAAATAGGTTTCTTGGTGTAAAGTCATGGTAACACATGACAAGGAAATCTCAGCCCTCCTCTCAAAGGCCTATGAAAACTATGACAGTATGAATCCCAAGAGAATGATGAGATAGCAATGTGTTAATAAGTAACAGCAGACTTCAAAAAGTTATTGAACTATCTTTCAAGTACACTCAAATTGTGAGGGCTCTGCTTCTTCCTTTTTTTTCTAAGATATTCAGTGGTAAGTATTTTCGAGGGGTGAGAAAGGTTAGTGTCCTAAAGTGTGGAGGGCACTGGTCAGGGTATAGGGCTGGGAGTCTAAGTGTAGGTGTACGTGTGTGGATTGTTGTAGAGTGACCCCCTCCAAGTATAACACCCATTGATTTCATCTGAGCAGCTGTGTTACTTGCAAGAGGTCCCTAAGATGGGTGGCGCTTGTTGACTGGTGATGTTCCTTCATTGTAGGGGAAGGAGATTCTGGCATCTCCTGGCCAGTTCTATGTAAATCTGTCCTCATTGCAAGAGGTCTTGGGAGGTGCTAGGTTATATAAAGCGGGGGCAGTTTATTGAAGGGGCTTAACTCTCCATCTATGTAGCTTTGGTGAAGTCATCATCTGTGCTGGAGTGAGATTTTTGGTTGGGGTAGCAGTTTTGGGTCACTCAAGCTCCTGTCATTAATCCCTGCCTGTACTCTGTGAGTAACCCCAACAAACCCATTGTTTCCCGAAGTTGTACTTTGGTGGAATCATACTTTGGTTTGTCACTCACTGATTGTCTATAAGGAGGGAGTAGATGTTTATATCTCCTTAGGGAATGAGTCCCTTCACCTGTAGAAGGTATCTCCCAAGTGGCATGGGGTCCCATGTATGTGTTGGTCGGTGGCAATCGCCTGGTGAGATGATGAAGACAGAGCAGGATAAATGATTGTTTTCTGGAACATCATGTGCTTGCCTATAGGGCTCTGATATGTGGACCCAAGATTGATTTATGTTCCTGTCTGGAAATAATCATCTTTTGGTATAGTGTAATTCAAGAGATTTCTATACTCTGCAGAAGTCAGTTCTCTACTTTAGCCATGAGGGTTCCAGGGAATGAAGTCAGATTGTTAGACTCAGTGGCAAGCACAATTTCCCCCTGAACCATCCCATCTAGCTGTCCTATTTCTTTTCCATTTTAAAATTATGATATGCGTTCCTTTAGAAAAGATCAAGTAGACTTTTTAAGGGTAGATTATAATTTAGATTGATTTTTTAATGGGCCTTAATAGCTTATAAGTGCAAATATTTTTATTGGTCATCTTTTGGATAATCACCCAAATTATTTTGCATATGGTCAGCTTAAAGTTTCATTTGCTATAAAGATGTGTTAGTGTTGTGATTCTATATCAGTAATATAGAGATTGTTATCAGGTCATAGATAATTGTAAGTTATATTGTTTAAATGTTAAAATGCTCTGCACTACTGAATAGAAAGAAATTTCTACTTGATGAGACCATAAGCTACTTAATACTGGGAAATTTGTGATAGCTTATGACTGTATTAGTGTAGATGTAGTGGATTCAACAAGTATTGAGAGTACTGAAATGGAGTGGATGTGGTGCATTAATGTTATGAAAACGCAGTGTTTGTCCACTGTTTCTGAGTGACCCTGAATTGATGAGGGTGTGAGGTAGGTAGTATTGGTGGCATTATTGGCATGGGACTGTTTGTATTTGGCCTAGACCTTGGCATCCAGGAACATAATTAGTTACAGTGCTCAAACATTTTACCGATTTATCCTTCTGGATGAAACAAGCTTGGGGAACTTGGGAGGTCTTGCCTGTTGATGTAATGAAGTAATGGTTACCAGAATTTGTTGAAGTTTCCTAAATTAAATTGTGGCTTAGACTGGGTTATAGCTAATGAGAGCTACAGCCAACAAAAGATTATGCTAAAAATTTCAAAAATCAAGAAGTAATTTGACTTAAATAACTTGGATTTCAATTTAAATTACTCTATAGATGCAAAATTACTCTATAGATTTACTCATATCAAGAGTAAATATGGTTTTAGTTTTGATTTAGTTGTTAATTTACATACAGTTTACATGACAAACTAGTAATTTTTAGAGGTTATTCTTGATAATTTACCATTAGATGATTTATATACTTATATGTGAAATTAGAAGTTTCAAAAAATAATAGAAAATTGTGTTTCAGTTCACATAGACTTGAACTGAAAATGACTTTGAACACTGATCACCTGTTAATGTAAACATTGTGAGAGAAAGACCCATTCCACAATTTTCTTTTCCTTTTTTTCTTTTTTTGCAAATATTAAATAAGCTTTGATTAAATACTTGTCAGGATGATGGAATCTGCCCAGGACCAATCAGGGACAAATATACATCCTGACAAATTTCCTGCCTATGTACCTCCTACCCACAACCAGTCAAATACTTCAGTTTAGGGGAGCAAAAACATGTGGCTTGTTGATACGTGTTAACTATAGCTCCCAACATTATAAGAAGCTATCTAGCTATCTGTCCTTGGACAAGTGGGACTTCCAGGTTAACTATAGCTGATATAGTTCCTGCATTCTTCTTCTTTCTTTCTTTTTCTTTTCTTTTTTTTTTTTAATACTGGGTTTCTCTGTGGCTCTTGAGCCTGTCTTGGAACAACTAGGCTGGTATTGAACTCACAAAGATCCTCCTGCCTCTGCCTCACGAGGGCTGGGATTAAAGGCGTGGGCCACCACCACCCAGCTCCTGCCTCCATTTTCAAGGTCTGGGATTACTTATGTGTGTCACCATGCTTTGCCAAATATTTAATAGTTTATATTTGTGTTTATAATATAGACAGTTTTCTTATGATTTTGCCATCATTTTGTTGAAAATAGTATTACCTTATATCTTTTCTATTAAACATTTATTGGATGTTCACTGTGTTTAGCACTGTTCCTGGTGCTAGCAAGACAGCAATGACTAAGCTAGATAGTTTCTTGCCCTTAAGAGGCAGTTGAAAAGCCTCAAGGTTTAAAAAATACATAGAATTCTTGTAGTTGTTTGAGAATGAAGTGTATGCACATTTAAGAGAGATCTACTGGATCTTAAACAGGTAATTTAAATGGAATCTTTACTGTGTGAATAAGCATAGTAATTCATACATAAAGATTTGTTGTTATAATTAACATAAGTTATAAATTATAAATTCACAGCACAGAATTTAGGACGTGGTACATCACGAGCCCTGGGTAAGTAGAAGTTGCTGCAGTGAGTGAGGATGATGATGGCGATGATGATTTCTTGGGTTTTGGGTTTGGCCTTCCTATTTAGTTCTTCTGTCCCATTAGTATGGCATGGCAAAACACAGAGAGACAGAGAAGCATTGGGAAGCAACATGTGAGCAGATTGGAAGTGACTGAGACTTGTAGCTGTGCCAAGTCCCATCCATCATTGGAATGATGCCTTCCAAGCGGTGATGAATTTTAGAGAGATAATTTAACTTTATTAGAAAAGCATTGACTGTATCATAGTCTTCAATTTCAGTCCATTTATTATAGTTTTGATATTACTATTCATATAGGGTCTCATTTATGTAGTTCAGGTTGGTTTCAAAATTACTGTGTACTTGAATATAGTATTTTGTTATTGTTGTTGTTTTGAGACAGAGTTTCTCTGTATTGCTTTGGATCCTGTCCTGGAACCCTCTCTGTAAACCAGGCTGGCCTCAAACTCAGAAATCTGGCTGTCTCTACCTCTCAAGTGCTGGGATTAAAGGCTTGTACCACCACCACCCAGCTGAATATGATCTTGAACTCCTGAATGTTCTGACTCCATCTCCCAAGTGCTAAGATTACAGGCATGGGTTACCACTCAGTTTTGTATGGTGCTGGAAACTACCAGGCTTCACATATGCTAGGCAAATAATGTACCACTTAAGCTGCATCCTCAGCTCATTGTCCATCCATTTATCTCTGGAGTTGATATGTTTAACTGCAGATTTTGGAGCAATGGTTGGCATACAGAAAGCATTCAATAAATGTTGAATGTTGTTTTGTTGTGGGCTGTTACCACATGTCAACTTATTCTTCCTCTTCTTTAACAAATATTTAGTGATAGCCTACCAGTTGTCTTTCTGTGCTAGAGCTGGTGGATACCAGGTAAACTTAGAGCAAGGGCATCTCTGTCATCACAGAGATAATGTTGTAGTGACAGGGAAATCTGTTATTCCTACTTGATCCCCAAGTGTTTCCTGGTCATTGTGTATTCGTCATCAAAATAAAAATAGAATTCACCTTCAGAATTTCAGGATAGCATCACCTATAACATTAGCTAACCAATTGACAACATGCTGATAATTTGCTTAGCAAACAGTTATGGATGTTGCTATGTCTACTCACTGTAGTAGGTGCTGGAGGTAGAGCAGTAACCAAAGCAGTTGAGAAACCTATTTTCATGAACATTGCAATCAGTCCATGAGGCACACATTGGCTAAGTAATTGAGAACATGACTTATGTCACAGACAGCAAAATCCGTAGTTGGTGTTATTAATCATCAGTAGTTTTTGGTGAAAGGGACATTCTAAAGCATGCATCCATTCAATGTCTTTCTGTCAGCTTTGAGTTTACATTTGTTTGTGTGGTTAAACAGGAGCAGTTGGACATCATGGAGACAGCTTAGTAGAGAAGATCCTTTCAGTGCTTCCACAGCTCCCAGGCCACACTAGTGATGTGATGGTCAACATGACAGAGCTTACTGCTGTCCAGATGGTGGAGGAAAACCAGACCGTGATTGCACCAGGCTGCCTTGCACAATCCAAGTAAGACATGTGGCTTTGTTTTGTTTTTCTCTCATTCTTTTTCCTCTTCTCTTTTTCTTATCTAAGACTGATTATCTCTATAGAGAAGAAATGAACCTGTAATCCTAGCACTTGGAAGATGAAGGCTGGAAAGTCAGGAGTTCAAGATCATCTTTGCCTAGTTAGCCAGTTCCAGGCTATCCTGGACTATATTTGCTTTTAAAAGAAGAGATAGAGTGAGTGAATGAAACACTACTTGTAAAGGGGGACTTTCTCTGTCTAGTCTGGGTCCTACTTGGGCCAGTTTCTCTTGGTCCACTAGGTCCCTGCAGCCCTTAGGAAATAATCCCTGTGAGGCTTAATATTTATTTATAATTATTTGGCCATTGGTGTAGGCTTTTTGCTATCTAGCTCTCTCTTAATTATTAATCCATTTCTATTAGTCTATGTACCACCACCTAGCCTTGGCTTATCTAGGTGATGCCCCGGTGTCCTGCCTCCCTGGTGGCGACATGTCATCTCTCTCCCTATCTTTCTTCTCCCTGTCTCTTTGTTTGGAATTCCCACCTAGCTAAATTCTTTCTGTCCATTGGCCAAAACAGCTTTATTCATCAACTAATAAGAGAAACATATAGCCATAGCATATAGAGAACATCCCACATTAACTAGTCAAGTAGGATAATTCATAATGGGTAGTATTTAGGAAAAATGCCACCTTTAAATATATAAATAATGATACTTACTAAAGTAAGCCAAAGAGTATATAGCATTTTATGTAACTTAAGCTTTTTCCAGAATTAGAGACTTGACATGTATGACTCTCTGTTTGATAGATTTTTTTTTTTTTAGTTTTTTTTCAAGATGAGGTTTCTCTGTGTTACATCTCTGGCTGTCCTGGAACTTGCTCTGTAGACCAGGTTGGCCTTGAACTCACAGAGATCTGCTTACCTCTGCCTCCTGAGTGCTGGACAGATGGTTTTATAGGAATTAAGTCTGGGATTCTACAGTTTCTCTTCATACTTAGCTTTCTCAGATGACTAAATGCAACCCACATAGATATATATCAGTGCCATATTTTATATTTAAGTAAATATACTTTTGGGCATCACTGGGTAATGTTTTAATTTCTAGGTATATTCTTTTTATATACTTCGAGAAATCAGAGAACATGTACTTTAAGTCTTGCAATGTTTCAAAAACAAGTGTTTCTGTAGACATGTCAACAAAAGTGTATGTAGTCACCCTTTACACCTTTTCAATTTTGTCCTTCATCCACAATTCATAGTAGAATTATTGTTGTTGTTTTAGATTTTTTTTATGTGTTTAAGTGAATGAATGAATACTTATGTACCATGTCTGATGCCCATGAAGGTTAGAAGGTGTCAGAGCTCCTGGAACTGGAGTTACAGACAGTTGTGAGTTGCCAGTGGTTGCTAGAACCAAGGTTGGGTCTTAACCAAATGAGCCAGCTCTCTAGTCCCTACTATTGTTTATTTATTTATTTTTTAATGTATTAGTACTGAAATAAGAGTATTTATTTAGTTATTTATTTACTTATTTATTTTTATCTAGTTTGAACTTTTAAAACAGGATGTGTTAGCTCACCCGAGCAAGTGGAAGCTTATGGACCCCAGTCTAGGGAACCAGCATAGGACCGAACCAGGCCTCCTGAATGTGGTTTCATTTGGGGGGCTTGGGCAGTCTATGGGGCTGCTGGCAATGGAACCAGTATTTATCCCTAGTGTATGAATGGGCTTTGGGAGCCCATTTTTCGGGGATATTCTCTTAGCCTAGATACATGGGGAAGGGCCTAGGTCCTGTCCTAAATGATGTGACAGACTTTGATGATCCCCCATCACTCTCCATGGGGAGTAGATGGGGGGGGTGGGATGGAAGGTTGGTGGGGGGATGGGAGGGAGGCAAAGGGAACTGGGATTGGTATGTAAAATAAGATTGTTTTTAATTTAAATACAAATTAATAAAAAACAGGATGTTTTGACATAATAGTTTCAAGTCTAAACAGTAATAGACCTATATGGAGTTTGCAGTCATTTTGGAATGAATTTGTAACAGGTGAAGTTTTCAGCTCTTCTTTTGGTGCCTAGCATGGGGAGAATAGACAAGCTTGTTCTTTGTCTTCTCTCTGTTTATATAAACAATGAGAACTAGAGCCTGAGCTTGCTGCTCTTCCCAAGGTCCTTGTGACTGAGGTCCTCTGAAGCTAACATTTAAGTACTTTAAAGTCCTTTCTATGAGCTAAGATATGTGGACACAAAAGAAGATAAACCAGCATTCCTGTCTTCATGGAACACTGTTTTTGTTGTGGTAGTGTCGTGAGTTATGCTCAGACACAATAAGAAGAGCATAGACATGACCTGACTTGAACTACCACTGGTGATCTTGAACTACCACCGGTGACCATTCCTACAGGTAGCTGTCAAGTAAATGTGGTTAGGTTGACCTCTTAGAAGAGTGGGCCTTGAGTTGATTGTGTCTGGAAATGAGGGCCACATATAGAAAGATATTCAGGGCCTGATGTGATTGATGACCGTGAAGAAAAGAGACATCCTTACCAGGCACCACTGTCATCAGCTCTGTGAACATTTTCCAGAATGTGCTATTGTGTCAAGCTCATCCCCATGAATCTTGTAGTTTGGAAGTTATTTTAAGTTTTACAGTAAATAAATGAGGAAATTTCCCCATTTTTCAAGTAAGAAAATTGAGGTAACGAGGCAGAAAATTATAGAGATATGGAACTGGAAATGCTCTCAGAAAGTCTGATTTCAGAGCCATTCTTCCTTCTGTGTTGTCCATAGGGGGCCAGAGGAGAGCTAGGCTCTTGACCAGACTCAGGGACTCAGTCAGACACAAAATAAAGTTGCTTCAGTATTTAATACAAGAAGTCCGGTTCATTTATGGTGGTTCTTATAGAATAACAGAATAGATATTCACATATTTTGGTAAAACAGGAGGGTGTTAAAGATGTTTAACAGTTAATAGAATCAAAGGAAGAATGATCAAATTTTTGAAAGTAGAAATAGTTGGGAGTCTAGGGAGCAAGAACTCAGGAAAAACCTCTTCAAGGCCTTGACATTAGAGAGACTTAGTTTTAATGGCTTCCTGTCTTCCAATTATTTCACTTAGGATGGGCCTATGTTGGCATTTGTTCCCTTTTTCCAGTGGGATTTTGGAGCTGTTCATGCTAAGAACATGTGGCATGGCAGGGAGGTAGATGTCTGCAGACAACTGGAGTACGTACTTAAGAGAAGAGGCCAGATAGGAGATACACTTAGGACATAGAGCACATTTACATGAGGACTTGGCATGTCTCTTCTAAACACTTAAGGTATGTTAACTGATGTCATGTCTCTCAGATCTGTGAGACAGATTTTGCCATCTGCTGTTTTAATCCCATTAATTTCATCATGTGACTTAAGGTATCATTCAAAGTTAGAGAGGTGGAGGTCTGGCTCTAAGTCAGTGCTTTCCATTACCCTTGTCTCTTTTGTAGAAGTGTAAAGTGATCAGACAGGGCAAGCAAGCTTCCGAGAAAAGGTAAAACAAGAGGAATTGGGTTGATTAGAGTACAAGAAAACATGTGAACTCTTACACATTTGTCAGGACAGCTATAGTAATGAAAGCAGCCTCAGATCCTTAACAGATATTTTGATTGTGGCCAGAGTATTTAGTTTCTCCAGCATCCATTCTACAGCATGCTTATTTCAAGGCTTCATCTGGGCCTTTCCTGAAGTGCCTTTCCCTTACCAGTGATTGTTTAAGAGAAATGGGCATGACACCTGAGACCATGTTGGTGTCTAAGGGCCTTGATGCCACCAGGGTCACACTGATCTAAGTGGCCTGTGCTGCCACTGAGACCATGGTGATGACTGGGCCCGAAGCTGCTGCCTAGGACCATGTCTGAGTGTGTTTTCCTGCTGCAGCGGGAGTCTGTGATAATGCCTATGGCCTTTGGTGGCATGGTGGGTGGGGATGGTCATAGGAGCCATGTGCAATGAAATCCAAGGGCCATGTAGAGCTGGTCCTAACTGGGCCTGGCATAGCTGGCTCTGCCCCTCTCTGGATACTGCAGCAGGAGAGCTGGCCTTGCCCTATAGACAGATTTTTCTTTTTGGGCTATCAGCTCATAAAAATGACACAGACTTATTATTAATTATGAAAGCTTGGCCTTAGCTTAGGTTTGTTTCTAACTAGCTTTTATAACTTAAATTAACCCACATTGTTTTATAATTTATTTATTCATTTAAGTTTCATTTTACATTCCAACCAGAGTTCTCCCTCCCACCCCTCTTCCTGCCTCTCTTTGTCTCCCTGCCAGCTCACCCCAAGTTCATTCCTCCTCACAGGTAAGAGCTTCTATGAGGAGTCAACAAAGTCTGATAGAATAGCTTAGGGCAGGGCCAAGACCCTCTCCCATTTATTAAGCCTAGCATGGTATCCTAACATAGGGAATGGCTCCAACAAGCTAGCTCATGTACCAGGGGCTCCTCAGATAGTCCAAGCTTGACAACTGTCTCCCACATATGGAGGGCCTAATTCAGTTCCCTGGAGTTTCCACAGCTGTTGGTCTACATTCTTCTATGCGCTCCTTACTTCATCTCCATTATGCCTATCCTGATTATTCCACATCTGGTTGGCAACTCTGCCTTTCTTCTTCCCAGAGCTCCCTGTTTAGATGTCCTGCTTATACCTCCTGCCTAGCTATTGGCCATTTAGATTTTTATTCAGCTAGTCACAGTGACAGATCTTCACACAGTGTAAAGGGATATTCCACAACATTGCCATCCCCACCTGCACTTAGGATGGCCTACCCCTATCACAGGCATGGGAGGTCTGGCCCTGATGGCACAGGCCAAGTAGAGCTGGCTCTGCCCCTCACCCAAGGAGGGTGGTCCCAGTGGTCTTGATCGACCAGCTCAGCTACCACCCAGACCACATCCTGGGCCTCAGGTTGGCCCACCCTATGTATGACTTGGTGAAGTATGTGAAGATATTGGTCCTGC